TTGAATAATAAGAGTTTATACTATACTTGTTTGACATACCATTAGTGGATCCTTTAACCTTGATATTTGTTATCATCATTGTTTAATCCTTACATTAATCTTCTCCTCAAAGCTCTCATCATCATCATCATCATCATCATCTTCTTTATTATTATTATTATTATTATTACTGCTACTTCTACTACTACAACAACAATAATAACTATCACTATCACTATTATTAATATTATTACTATTATTATTAGTAGCACTAGTATTTAGTATTATTATTGTTATTATTATGAATTTTTTGTTGTTGTGTTATTGTTATTTATAATTTATACAATTAACTTTCCTATGGTTCAACCTCGATCTTGCCAAATTATTTATTACTTCGACACTCCTGCGCTTAGAAGAAGACATTAATTTTTTGATCGTGTCATATGAACCATTCCAATCATTATTCATAACCTTCTTTGGTGTTGTTGGGTTTATCAGTCGATATCTTTCCAATAGTATCGATGGTATTGTTATCGAAATTTTAGTGTGTCTTCAAAGTCTTTTTCTTTCTTTTTTTCCTTGTTTGTCTCTCTCCTCTCACCTCTTTATTGTAAACTGTATTAGCCTATTTTTAATTTTAGAGAGAGTCACATATGACACTTGTGACTCAAGAGTTGAATATGTCATTTGTGATTCTCTAAACTATGCTACTTTTCTAAATATTTTTTGTATAATTATATTTCATCCTATTTTTTAAGTGCTAAAAACCAAAAACACTCCATTTCTATGCATGCAATGTCATGTGGTCTCAAACCTCAAAGCTTACCACCATAATCACACATTTGGTGAAATAAGATGGCAAGACGGTTAAAAGGGATACATGTTGTTGTCACCCAATTTTAGGCCATTGACTTTTTAATTTAATTTTATAGGGTTTAAAATGTAAAATTAAAAATATCAGAGATTTATTTCAATAAAAAGTTGATTTATCAACTTACATGAAAATTAGGAACTATAATGTACCTTTTCTATTATATCCTGATCTTCAAGATGATCCTTATCTTCAAGATGATGATAGTTATCCGCTTTCAAATTTGATTCTTAATCAAATTCAAACTTAAAAAAAAAAAGAATGACTTTGATTGAAACTTTATT